TATACGAACGGGGCTCAACTGGCATCGCTACGAACGGAGCGATCGGAGGCTGCGAACGTAGCTACTGACAAGGACGCTGTATTAGGAGCATGGGGCGCGGGGCAGGCTCGGGGCGACAGCGGCGCGATGTGTGGAGCGTTTGGTCGAAGTGCGGGGGGTATGGTCGAAGTGTGGCGGTAAGTGTCCTCACGGTAAAGGGTGTTTGGGTGGGTTTAAAAGTGTGAGATGTGGGGATGGGAGTTTGGCTTGAGAAAGGTTGGACATCCGGGTTTTGGGTGAACAAATTGGAACAGTTTATGACATGATGCACTGCTGAATGGAGCACTAATACCAAATCTGCTGCCAGCTGCCAAGAGCACCTCAAGTTGAGAGCCCTTTGTTCTCAAGTAAATTCTCATGAACATGCTGAAACAGTCAGTCTAACCACTAAAGCCATCTTCCATCATATCCCTATCCGCACAGTTGTGTTGTCCTGTATTGCTTCGCTCGTTCTTTCATTGGGACGGACCGGTTCAGCTACACGACTTACAGAGGTAGCCAGGGACCAGGTCACTAGGACCCGGAAAACCAGGGGTACCGAGCTAGGATAGTCTAGTTCGGGCTCTGACCCACCTCTGCTGGTAAGAAAGAAGACATATCTTCCTACTGTGCTTCCTCATGCCCCTCCTGCCCCTAGCCAGCCAGCCCGGAGCTGAAAGAGAATCCAAAGCCTGGGCTTCCTCGCTCCCAAAGCCCTTGGTTTGAATGAATGAAAGCTTTAAAGATACTCATCCATAAGTCGGATACGTACTGCATGGCACCTGATCTCCATACGATTTCATCCACTGCATGGCGTTCTCTCACTCATCCACTTCTCCGCTGAAAAACGGCTGGCATGGCCCATGCCTGAGCCGACTGGTGCACCAGGACGACCGTGGCAGTGCAGCCACTATTCCACGCCTGAAGTCGAGAAGTGGAGAGAAGTGGACTGGGAAACCCAAGATCATCCAGGCAAACCACCCTCAAAACAAATGAGCAGAGTAGTCAGGCGTCCTCTGCAGAAGTGCAGAAATCTCTGCAATGTCGTCTTTAAATAAGTTTGGCCTGGCTAAGGTGCATCTGGGACTTGAAACAAACACGGCCCGGCTGGTGAAGACGTCTCCACTCATGGTCACACGGCACGTGGTCACATGGTCACATGGTCCGGTCATGATATAAAGCCCAGCTCCGAGTTGGAAGAGTTACTGCATATCATTTGTACTCCAGCCGTTTGTATACAGTATTGCGTCCGCTGTGTTTTGCTGAAAGAAAAGAGAGAAACAACTCGGCACAGCATGTCATTCACAAGGGACCCCTCTTCCGGAACGCCGGTTCCGAGCAAAACTCTGTTGGAGCCAAGGTACGCCCATCATGGCCAGCTGGGAATCCACCTTTTTAAACCTGGGAATCCATCTGGGCGGATCGCACATGGGACTTGGACCCCAGTCTAAGGTTTGGGGGAGGGGAAACCGACGGTCTCAGACTGTGGCATCACTCTTGAAGTACAGTAGCCAAGCTGAGCCCATCTTCCCCGAGGCCGGGGAGATGGTCCATACTATAAAAGGGGTCAACCAATTGAGAAACCGTTGGTGTACCTGTTGAGAACATCGAGATCGGACATGGCGTTTGGCAACCCAGGGATATCAGGCTAGGGCTCTGCAATCTAACAAATAACAAGCCGTGAAGACTCCTTAAGCTGTGCATGCCTGACAAGCACACTCCTACTTGCCTTTGTTCACCTTCCAGCATTTTTGGAGTCTTGTACAGTGTCAGTGGGGCTTGTTGCAAGCTCAAGCCACGTCTGCACCAAAGCCTCCTGAGGTTTGCGGGAGCGCAACTCCAGAGTCAGGGTGGTGTGCAGTTGAGCCTGACACAGGAAGCTCCACTCCAACTCGAGATCGTCCAGCGAGAAACACGCCCCAGTCTGTCCACCTCTCTCTCTCTCTACCGATGATGGTGGGACATGAAGAGAAGGGAGACATGGAACCAGTCGATGGCAGAAATGGGTCCTGGGTGAATCGGTTTTCTTCGACTCCAAAGCCGAGCATCGAGCATCAGCGGTTTTCAAACCCCAAACCACCACCTCTTTTGATTGATTGGGTACAACATGAGTGACGACTGGACTCCACCAAAACGTGGGTGTCACCAAGGGCCGGCGACCTGCAAGTGATCATCAAATCGACTCTTTGATCAATGGCCGGTGACCTGTCTTCGTTCTCGGGAGCGGGATGGGACATAATGGCATCAAAGAATACTTGAACTGTCTTTGGCTGGGAGTCATGGCACCGGACCCTGGTGGAAACCCCGGCAGATCTGAATCGATTCCTCTGAGTTCGGGATGTCCACGGATTTGGGGTTCCATGGTGCCATAGATCCAGGTTCTCTGTGTCGACAAGCACAGCCATCAGAGTACGTGGTCATTCTATCCGTCCCAATGTCCCATGGGAGTTGTGTGATTGAACATGGTGTATTGAACCCTCAGCAGCTTCAACAAACCACAGGCATGGGGCCATAGGGCCCACAGGGCCTCAGGGCCTCGTTCGCTCGTACAGCGGCCTCTACGTAGTCCACCTCAGAGCGACCGCCATGGCCATCGTAGACGGCGAAGAAGTCCCAAAGCTCCTGCAATCTTCGCGGCCGCAGCCAGGGGTGGTTCAAACACGGTCGCGTGGGTGCCCTCTCCGCGCGGAACCTGGGAGGTTTTGGTTTCGGTGCTGTTGGGCGAGAAATGGACGCGGTGCTTTTCCGGGTGGAGAGTGTCCGCCGGCCCAGTACTGGAAATGGTCGGAGTCATACTGCAATAAAGCCGGTGAGTCTTTAATGAAGTGTGTCGGATGACCATATTGATCCACCTTCTCTTAGCAGAGTTGGGTGCATAATTATGCTCAAACATTTGCTAACTTCATCGAATATTACGCAGTCGTTTCCACATGGTCCCAAACCTACCCCCCCATCCAGGAGCAAAAATAACGACACGCACGACGCACGGCAGCCGCAGCCGCGTCCCTCCTCTTTGTCGCGGCCCGTTCGCAGCAATGGTTGCACGACCTGTGCGTAGCGGGAGGTTCTCCGTCGTCCAAGGGGCCCAGGGAGCCAAGCGACACGCGGATACGCACGCAGCGGCCTGTCCTCGGGGTTTTCCGGAGACGAAAAGAAGGCAAACACGGCCGGAGAAAAAGTTTTGGGGATTTCGTCCAATGGAGTCCCAAAACATGAGACAGGATCAAAAACCATTCCTATAGGGATCCAGTCGTACCGAACCTCAGGTTCGGTACGACTGGACCCTCCGAACCTACAGTGTCTCCACACATCACCGTCAAGGTACGACTGGATCCCTAGGGCAATCATAAGAACAAAGAACACAAAGGCTTCTTGTGCAGATCGCCGCTACTTGTATCTACGACTACGTACTGAAAGTAGCACTACCAGCCCTACTACCAACACTACGAGTACCATATTGGTTGGGTTGGTCTATTCTATTACCAGTAACAGTGAATGATGATGGTTAGTAAAGGCCTTGTTCCAAAGATAGGATCATTCGTGACTGATGGCTCTACAGGTAAGAACGGACAGACCAAAACCATTGCTGACAGGGCATTCCCCATCATTCCTCCCCAGCACCGACGCCACGGTGCTGGCCATCACGCCTGTTGGCCATCTTCCATGTATGGCCGAAAGGCGCTGTTGTCGTCCGAGGCCTGGGCCGGGTCGGAGGGTTGGATCCGCAACAAGCAGAAGCTCCGCCACCATCGTCTCATGGGCCGCCCACTCTGACTTCAAACCAACAGATCAAGATCGAGAGACCAGTCACTGAGAAGATCCTGGATGACGCGTCATGACGCAGCAAGCTGGGATCTTAGTCATTCAAAACTTGTAGAGATGCATTGTGTGTATACAGACGAAAATGCCTGAACACTCTGCAGGCTTTTGCGCTTCGGGCAAAAAAAGGACAAGACCAGTGACCAGTTCTCTAAAGTCATGGCCACTTTGCAGACCTGAATACAAGGAGTCCCTTAAACCTGCGCATTGTAGCTGGGATTCACCAAAGTGAGGTGGGCATTTGACTCCCAGTCATGAGATTCGTCAGCAGTGGAAGTCGTCTGATTGATGGTAGAGCGGATGGCCACGAGTGTGGAAACTTGGCAGGAACTTCCATAAGGGTCGGCCACTCTCCTCTAAAATTGCTGGCAGCATGCACCAAGACAGACACATCAACACCACTGTCTGGGTCCGTGTTTCTCTGCGCCCAGGCCAAGCTGATGAAGGCAGTCTTGCCCTTTGGCACTTGGCCCCAAGCCTTGTGCGGCGCGTTGAAACAGCAGCGGGGCTGCTAAACACCGGAGAGCTTGGTGGCTGTAATACCAATACAGTAGTTAAGTCGTTGAGGGACTTCCAGTCAATCTATGGATCCAGTATTTATGAGTAAAGCTTGTGCTGCTAGGTGGGTAAATGGTTGAGCCCTCCCAAGTCCTCGGCCCCACCATTCGGCCCCTGTGTTGCAGCCTTGCAGCCTGAACCCAAGCTCAGTCACACAACAAATATTCTGATTGGGAAACTCTACAATCATGCGGCATCTTGAAACAATAATTTACCGTTCATGGGCCTCTGGTAGATCAATCTCCGCCAAATCAACCTCTGTGTTTAAATCTTATCATACCCAGACACTCCATGGGGCTGGCATATGTACATACATTGGGGTGGTTTCAGGTCAATGTAGGCGGCACAATACAATACATGGAGGACACCGGGATGTGTTTGCATCGCATTTCACCCCTGAAACTTCCACCACTGAATCAAGCATACCTATTGAATAAGACATGTATACAGTCGAACAGACTCGAGATGACTCGAGACTTGTTTTGAGATCAACTCCATCCATCCAACCCTCCCCTAGACATTCCTGTACCAAACCTCAGGTACTAGGACCCTCCTGGACCCGACAATGGCTGGCACCGTCTCATGTCTCAGTGTTTCTCATACATCACCGTACCTGAGGTTCGGTACGAAAACGGATCCCTAGGGCTCAAAAACACCACAGGGGGGGTGCCACATCTTCGGCCCAGTCGCTGAGGGCGGCCCCTTCTTGGAAGCGAGGAAACGAGGACCCGGTGACCTGGCCGAGCGGAATCAAGAGGGCCCGGTGACCGGGTGACCGGGCACATCAAAACGTCTGGAATTGGTGACCGGGAACTTCTTTGAATTTTGCAAGACCATCAGAGATATGCTAAGTGGTTAACGTCATTTCAAGGATGGTTAGAGCGTTTTTGCCGAGTCTGGATGTGTTTTGCAAAATGTTTTGTGGGGATTCATGTTGTTTGTGTGTCCATTGATGTAAAAACACAATAATGGTGCTCAACGAGTCTGTAGGGTATGCAGCTGAAAAGAAAAAAAGGAGCGTAGCCATGCATCCAGTAGAGGCCGGGCAAACAGATTTGTTGGGATTAAGTAGCCTAGCTCACAAACAGTGAATATGTAGATGTTGCCCCCTAGACTCTTTGGAATAACTGTTTTTTTTTGGTAGCTTCCCCGGAAAGTGAGAGGACATCGATGCTGAAAGTGATTGAAACTGGAGATACTGAAAGAAAAGCATAAAGTACCTTTGGGAGAAGGTTGGGAAGTCTTGAGACAGCTGTCCCATAGGGTCCAGGAACCTCCTTCCAAAGAAAGGGTCGAAAGGAGGTGAGTACGATTGAGTACATACTTCCAGGATCTTCCAGGGAAAGGTCGCCTGGAGCCTTGCAGGACATTCCATTTTCCGAGGTACTTTGAGACTCCAGGTATATTTTGATAGGGAGACCCTCTGGCCCTTGCTGAGTCAACAGGTCTATTTTCCTCCTCCGGTCGTTGCCTAGAAACTCTCTCCCGAGTCGAATACACACCCACTTACACACCCATAACTAGTATAGCTTCTTAGTCTGTTCGTAGCGATGCCCTTAGTTACGTTCGTAGCGATGCCCATAACACCCAATGAGTTTGATCCTTCAGGATCCGATGAAAGGACGTCTAAAAACAGCGACCTGTGGGATTTCCTCAACGAGTCCAGTTCTACAACGCCAGGTCCAAGTGTTTCATGTCTCACTCCGCCGGAGATCCCTCGAAAATCCAGTTGACCTTTCAATATGGGAAATATCTGTATAGGTCGTGAGGTCGTAATATGTTTATATGTTTATATAACAGTTGCTGAAATAAGGGTTAGGTCGCCGAAGAACGAACATATTAGTGAGGTTGGGTTGGGGTTCGGCGTGGCATCTGACGCCACGCGTGGTGTGGCCGGTCCGTTGCTATTAGGGCCGCTCCGTCGCCTGACCTAGACTGCGGGCTCTAAACTCCAAGCGGATCCTATTTTCTCAATATAGGTCCGCTTTGGGCCCGACTGTTTCCGGGTTGCACATGCCAGGTTCTGGCAAGCGCCAGGTTCCAGAAAAGTTGGAGGGATGATGTTCGCATCTTCCAAATGTGTTTTGTTTTCTTTTAATCGTTTTGGAGGTGTGCTGTTGTGGAAATCATCACCCAAAACCCCAGGCCGGCCATGAAAGAACTTGAGGCCAGAGGGGGTGAACGAAAGCTAGCCGGGCTTCCGGTGGTCTGCTGCTGGTGCTGCTGCTGCTGGTGCTGCTGCTGCCGCTGCTGCGCTGGGCGCTGCTGCGCTGGGTGCTCTGCAGGCACCGGGTCGTCTGCTGCTGCTGCTGCTGCTGCCGCTGGGTGGTCTGCTGCTGCTGCTGGTGCTGCTGCTGCTGCCGCTGGGTGGTCTGCTGCTGCTGCTGGTGCTGCTGCTGCTGCCGCTGCTGCGCTGGGCGCTGCAGATGCTTGGTGTGCTGCAGCTGCTTGGTGGTCCCGCTCACCGCGCGCAGGGGGGAGTCGAACCGCGGGGGGGGGGGTCCATAAGATTGATTTAATCAATTATTTGAGGTTTCTGAGGTGCGTCCACCCCGTCACTTAACTTGCTAAAGCAAGAGCAACTCCAGCTAGCTAAGGCTAGCTTTCGTGACTACAGGTCGGGTTCCCCGATCAGAACAAAAACGGAACACCATCACAACAGGACCGGGACACTAGATTTGCTGGTGGCCTGATGAGGCCCGTCCGCCTATACTTTTGCAAGACTCCATCGCATTGCTGCAGGGAAACTACATGCAGGTCGGGATCGCCAAGTAGTTTTGGCCAATGCCAAATTCCGGCAAACGCCGGGTTGCTGCAAATGGCTGGCTCCAGAACAGTTCGAGGGATTATGTTTCATTTCTTGTGAAGACCTTTGGACGCTACGGAGCAAAGGGCATCGCTACTAGGAACAAGAAGCTACTAGGGGCTCCTGGCCTTACTCCTTGGAGCAAGGACGCTACGAACGGAGCTTTTTAATCTTCCTAAATGGCTTCGGTTGGACGTTGAAGACCCTTTGGTCGAAGGCTGCGCACCAAGTTTCAGGGCTCCGCTTTGTTGTTTCTGGCCCGGGGTTTCCCTCGGGTTGGTGAGCTCTTTTGGGCGGGGATGCTGGGGCCAAGGTTTCAGCGTTTGCACGGCAAAACGCGGGTGGCCGCCCATGCAACCACCCAATTGCTCAAGGTGATGGGTTCGGGCGCCCTGCCTCTGCTCTGTCACCTGCGCTGCATTGGATGGGTGTTCCTGCCAGCTGCAGGCAAACTGCCCAAGCTTTCCACGTCCAAAAACGACAGAAGTCAGAAGCTAACCGACAGTGAGACAGGCACGTGGCTTTCCGATTTCCCTTTCAAGCGCCCCTGCCAGAAAGTCAACTGGGACACATCAGTCTGCTTACTCCATTCTCGGACACCATCTCGTCAAGTGTGCGCAAGCCAACCAGTCAGCACCACGCAGTCGGCATGAGTGAGCAAATGGTGAGGTCTTGGTGAGGTGTCTCTTGGGCAGTTCTGCTCCAATGCTGTAGGGCCAAGGTTTTGAAAAGCTTAGCACGTGAAAGGCTGCACGGCAGAGCAGTTGGCTTTGGGAGAGACCAGTTGGATCTGCATCCGAGCTTGACAAGGCACGAACCAGTTGAGAAGAAGTTGAAAGACTCTGAGCGGCAGTTTTGGCCCCCGCTTTAAGGTGGTCGTAATTGCAAGTGACGTCGGGTGAGGTCGCTACAATTCCACCAAAGACATGTTGCACTTGAGTGAAACATGACTAAAGGTTCTCCATGGGGTAGAGGACGCTACGAACGGAGCAAAGGGCAAGGACGCTACGAACGGAGTGTTCGGACGCTAAGTACCGGGGCTCCTGGCCTTTACTCCTAGGAGCGATCGGACGCTAACAGACTCGGAGCTTTTTCATTCACGTTGCCACTCCCACGCCCAAGGTTCCGGCTTTCGCTCCGTGGGAGAACTGGCGGGACTCGAGAACGCCTGCGACTCGAGAACGCTCATGAGACGGCTCTGAATTGAATGAGGGTAACTGCAAAGGAGACATCGGCGATGACAATTGATTGGTTGTTGGGAGGTATTCCTATGCTGAAAAAAAATAACATGAACATGGTCAAAAGATTTCAAGGGGCCACTGTCCTAAAACAGAAAAGGACTCGAGAATAGCCAATAAAAGATAATACAAGTATCTGCTTGAACTTGCTCTCGATGTATCCATCATGATGTACATCGTCGGCTGTCAAAAGATTGTTGCTGTTCTTGGCCATCCCCCATCTAAGGTTTCTCTCAAGGAACCAAGGAACCCATATCATATAGAACCTGCGTTCAAGGGAGGTGTTTGCCCGCTGAGAATCCTTCAAGAGGGATCGCCTTCGCCGAGAAATTGGGTCTCAAAGGGAAAGGAACAATCAAGGGCTTGGGTTGCAAAATCAAACGGAAAGTGATTGGTGTCTTAATTGGAGCTATAACTTTCTGCAAGAAAAACATATCCAAATTTCTTTGCCAACCCACCTGGATCCACCTCAGCGAGGGCCACAAACTCCAGTAAAAAAGTACTAGATTCTAGTCAACACACAATCCGAGTACATCCTGCGAGGGACTGGCCCTTGAAGGAAGTTGAGGCCATGCAGTTGATTTAGTTGAAACAATTCCTTTGAGAATCCTAGCCTCTTGCCTATGACTCACATCTCTCAGGTAGATGCTATACAAATGTATACGGAGAAAAACATGACTAGGTCAACAGTTTGTCTTCTTCTTCAGGTTGTATAGTGAAAACACACGCCTTAATCCCCAAACGCCAAACACACCTGACTCTGCAAGACTCACACGTGTCACCTCACACGGTCGAGTTTCCTCCCTCCCAAGACTGTAAAAGCCGAATCGACCGTCCCACAGTGTGCAGACGAGGTAAAGAAGACCTAAGAAGAAAGACGTTCTGGTCATTCAAACCCTCAAACCAAATAATCTGGTCATCCACTAGATTCGAAGAACACAATTAACAGATCTTCCTCCGAACTGCCTGACATCGACGTGATCGGCCGGAATCTTCTGTCCAACAACCCCTACGGGACCACTTGGATTTGCTGAAGGAACCATGGTAAAAACACCCCCCCACACCACGCCAACAACTTCACCCAAAAATAGCGGGACAATTGACCTCACCCGCTTTCAGCCGCAGCTTTCCAGGCTTGGGCTTCCCTCCGCTCAAGCCATCCTTGTTCACGGGCCCCCGGGCTGCAGCATCCGACTTGCCCAGTGGTGCTGGCGGGGGAGGTGACGGGCCACGGGGGGACCGAAGGGTTGGCCATGTGGACCCAACCGGGTCTCTACTGTTCCCACCTGGGTCAAGGAAAGTCATTCGGAACCATCGACTGTCTCTGCTTGGGTTTCGACTGTCTCAAGCATTTGACAAACCAAGGTGAGCAGCAGGATCCTTTTGGAGATAACCATTTGAGCTAACCTGCAGATCTTGGGAACAAGCACTCAAGTAGATCTCGAGGCATGGGAACCCCACGAAAACAAATACAAGGCATGCATCACTTGCTATCACTTGCTATCACATGGCACTCATGCTTTTGTTTCAACAAGACTCATGCTGACTGAATCCTCTGCTTGGTTTGGTTTGCTCCTTGGCTCCTTGATCCCGACATAACTTCTACAATGGCATCTAGGTACACTCATTGATACATAAGTCTAATGTGTATTATTTGTGCTGTTTCTTTCAATATTTCTGAGCTTATTCTATATTGAATTATGATTTTTTGTTTATCTCTATTTATCTATCTATCTATCTATCTTTTTTCAGTTCATAGTGTCTTGTGACTCAGCACCTATTACGCTCATTGGCATCTATACAGTATGTCTTTCAAAGTGGAAGAAGAAAAACTGTCACCCCAATCCACAGCTGAGGCGATGACATCCTCGTGGCAGACCAGAGTCACCCTGAGGGCTCACACAACCTAGCCAAGAAGCAGAAGCGTTTCGCTGGGACCCGCCAATACGGCCTGCCTCTTGGACTGCTCTTGAGCTTGTTGATTCTTCTTGTATACTGGTATTGATTAACTTGAGATACATATATATTATAATATATATATTCCTGGCCAACCTGAGATTGATCTATTGATATCTATTGATTAGCTTGAGATTGACCCAGTCAATCCTTCAGTAGGTGGTCAGGCTGCGCAGGCTGCAATATGAACCGGCTGGCAGGCCGGACTGATTGGGGAATGATTTCATATGATTTCAAATGGGATGGACCGGACACTGAACAGCAGATTCAATCATTAGGACATATTGGACATTGAACAGCCATGGTTTCGGTGGACACAGGACACTCACACTCAGTCTCCATGATCATGGAAAATACCACTGCATTCAAACAAAAAGCTTTCCTGGAGTCTTATATCCCAGACACTCCATGTATGCCATATACCCCTACATTGACCTCCAAAACCACCCCAATGTAGGCATATATGGCATACATGGAGTGTCTGGGTATGGTCTTATTAATCCAGAGTGTACCTTTGGGACTGCAGGTCCATCATTTCGACTGGCCTGGCAAGCGTGGTGGTCGGTAGGACTCTCGGGGAGCACGAACATGAGGGCCTCCGTTGCGCAGCGTGCATGGTGGCCACATCCGGTGGAGTGCAGAGAGGCTTTGATGTTTTTAGGTCTCAAGGTACTGAGCTCCAGTGGGTCCAAATATTCACACAAAAAGAACACACAAACACCAGCACCACCCGAACGTTTGGGTTATTGGATAGTTGATAGATGTTGATCGTACGAGTAGACTAAATGGTGAGGGGGGATCGAAAAATCCACCCGAACTGGGTGCTGGCCAGAATTGAAGTGTTGGAGTGTCCAACTGTGCTACGGGGCTATGAGATCCGGGACAAAGGTGTGCAGGCAATATACCCTATGGATCCACTGCCACCGAACCTGAGGTACGGTGATTGGAGACTATTGATGTAGGCGCCAGGAGGGTCCAATTGCCTTCTGAGAAGGTATTTGGATCCATAGGGATATAGACCCCCAAAGAGATAGAAAAGTAAAACCCCTTTCAACATGCATTGGACACCGTTTCTATCTATTTGGGGACCACTATACAAATGAGGTGGTGAACCTGGCGAGCCCAAAAAGGAGGCCGAACCGGGTGGCCGTCAACGTCGTGACAGTGAGTATAGAGATTGACCATCTTGACAGGGCCTCCTTATTTGAGGTGTCCATTGATCGCCCCGAAAAGGATGTTGGTCGGGGTGGCCATGAACCGCCGGGTCCTGGTGGTTGCCTTCAGAATCTTCTGATGAGCTAAACAAATTGCAGGTTGCGGCCCTAGCAGCGCTACAAACAAACCCAAGAAGTGATTAAGACGATGACTCTTAAGGGGATTTCTTGGAAACGGCTCGCTTTGTTACTCTTCCTGTAGGACTTGCACAGAACATCACAGAACTATACGCTTGGTGGCACATGCCACATTCACTGCCACATTCTCCACATTCCCCCATGGTCAAAGGGCATCCAACCGCCAACCGCGAAGGTCAACAAATATGTGCAAGTTTGATTGTGATTGATCGACTTGGACTCCTTGGACTATCTCTTTCAAACAAACATGAGAGTCAACAATTGAGATCCCGCGAGTTGTACATGAGCGCTTGATGCTGCTCCTGCGAGTTGTACATACCCATTCATACCCTCTTTTCACCCAGAGTCTTCTGGCCGCTTGCGACCCAAACCCTCAAGCCCAAACGAGCCAGGTTCATCCCCCCAAAAAAATGAACTTCTGCCTTGTTTAGCCTGAGTTGGCCTCCAACACCTCGAACGCAAAACATCCGTTCTTGCAGGTAGCTGGCAGAAGCAAGATCTAAAAGTGGATCACTTCAAGAAATTGATGCTGCACCACACACGGAAAAGACCACAACAGTCTAATGAATGAGAACCACCCAAGTTCCCGAGATGTGCCTCCACGGCACACAAAGCAGCCACACGCCAGCCACCTTTCACTGAGCACGCGCCATTGCTGGTCGAAGACCACGGCTGAAGGGTTCCCTCGAGCCCCCACAGCATCGGATGGACGTTCTTCATCCATACCTGCAAAAGTGGAATGCTTCAAGAGACGAAATCGAACAACGAAACTAGCCAGATTCACACGCCCCCAAAACATTCGGTGGAGTCTCTTGAAGATTCCGTCTGAGCTTCTTTGCGCTCACAAAAAGTGGATCATCTACCAACGTCCAGTATCCGCTGGTCAAAACACGAAGCAATGCATTACTGGTCAAATGCTTCGTCATTGCATCGGCTAGCTGTGCGTTGCTGTGAACCCATCGTGTCACGGTTCCAGCTTGTTCTAACCTTTGCAGTAATGACATCATGTCAAGGATAGCGTACTTCTCCTTGAGACCAAATCCACTAGTCATGTTAGAACCTTTCTGTATGATGTCATAAAGTGATTTGGCATCAGTCACTACAACACCTTTGGTGGCTGCAATGAGGGAAATGGAATCATTGGTGGGGATCTTGTGTCCGCACAGTTCGGCCCATTCTAAGCGTACAAACATCAACTCTTCTTCAGTCACCGAAAAAGCTTGAATCTCAGCGCTGAGAGAACTTCGTGCTACACGTGGAAGTTTTCCGGACTTCCAACTGATGGGATTCAGCACGCTTGGTTTGCCGTCTAAGATCTTTGGACTTGCAGCTGCAATGTAGTAGCCGCCTGAGCTCGACCAATCTCTTCTGTTCCCGACAGCTGCGTCGGACCACGCCACAAAAGTGACATCCATGGGGTTGTCCACATCAATCTTCTGGTACCTAGGCGCTAGATGTCGATGATTGTAAACTTCACGCACCAACTTGTTGGCTTCACGAAGCGTAGTCTTCGTTGGTGTGCTCAACTGGCTTTGCAATAGGCTGAGGCGAGCGGCATGGTGTGGACCTGTTTGGTACACACGCCACTGTATGGCACCTAGAGCTCCTCGCAGTTGCTGATGTTCACTTGCGGTCACCGGATCCTTGTCGGAGCCTACGATGTTGATCTGTTCAATGCCCTGGCAGTATGCAGAGTGGTCCAATGTCACTGAGCCATCCACGTTTTGGTTGATTTGTACACCGCAGTGTGTGTAGGAGTCACACTCCCACGGCGACCATTGGTACCGGTCATAGATGTAGGAAACTGCTCTTTGATATACAGGATTGTCTGAGGCTCCTGCAAACAAAAAGTCGTCCACGTGGGCACATGCTATGCCTACCAACACATGCTGCCCATCAACTTCGTCCATGAGCCTCCACGCACAAGGCTCGCTTTGCAAGACTTCAAACCCAGCTTCCTTCATTGTCAAAGCTATGGAGTTGTACCATTCAGCTGGAGCGTTTGCCAGGCCGTAGCATGCTTTGAGAACCTGTCCCATCGAGTGCTCATTTCCACCCAGCGCTCTGCTCAACTCAACCACCGGCTTTGTGTAAAGGTTTCGGGAAGCCTCGGACTCACGCCCTTGCAAAAATGCAGCCCCAAAAATGCAGCCTTGATATCTCCTTTCAATGCCGTCCAGCCTTTCAGGCTGCACATCGTGAGGAATAGTCCTCTGGTTCGTCGACTCATTGTGGGCGAGGTTTTCTGTAAGGAGGTCAAATCCGGATCTTCAAATCCGATCAGGATGATGCGCGCCTTGGCGCTGCCGTCAGCCTTGATGGTGTAGAGCCATCGCATCCGGATCACTCTGTCTCGAGGAACTTTATCTTGCGTCAAACGAATAGCGGACTCACGAATCCAATTTGACACTTCCTTGTCTTTTGCGCGCAAGAAGTCAGCGATGCGGTCTTTTGGAATCTGAGACCACTTGAGCTCTGAACCACCTTTGATCTTCTTTTGCACCCAAGTTTCAGAATCTCGCAAGAACTTCTTCATATCTTTCTTGTTGTCTGGCATGTCAATTGCTACATAGCAAACATACGGATTGTCATCTGCTTCATCCACAGAAAAAGACGTTGCCATGTCGTAAATGTCAACAAGACTCAAAGATGCCTGAGCACCAGACTCTGCACGTTCCTGAGCACGTTGAAATGGGGGATGTCTCTCCAGCTCAGATGAATGCGCAGAACCATGGCTACGAGGGAGCTTAGCTTCTGATGCGCCCGTGGGGGCCGAGCTACCCGGCCGTTTCACCCTTTGTGGATCTTCCTCGATCCTTCCTACATGTCCCTGCCCTCTGGGTTCGGGATCTTGTGTCTTTTCTTGTTTCTTTTTGTCCTTTTTCTTTTGCTCTTCTTCAACTTCTTTCACAACTCTCGGCCTACTCCTACTCCTAGCCTGACGTGTCGAAACAACGGAACGTCCTTCTCTCTCTCTGAATTGTGGATCATTTTCATCAGTCTCGAGATCGTCGTACCTCTCAAACTGACCCTTTTCAACTAAATTCAAGAGGGAGGTGAAGGACCACGGCATGGTGATGGCTTCCGATGCTTCAGCCATCAACCGTTCTTTCTCAGAGCAATGCCTGAGTTGGTGCATGTGGCATCGTTTCAGACGCCCAGCTGCGATTATCCACACCACCGTACCCGGTTTCCGGGTGGGAGGTGAAGTCTCAACACGGGTTTCTGTCGCAAGAACACGCGCTGGTCCATACCAGCGGGAAAGTCCAACCTTTGGGATATCAACACCAGGATGAGAAGTGGTCTGTCCTAAAGGAGTCTTAAACCGTTTGTAGTAAACCAAATCTCCCGGAAGAAACACGGATTGAGGACGAACCTGTGACTTCATGGCCCGGTTGATCTTCATCACAGCCTGGGTTCTACGATACTGCTCTTCAGCTTGGGTTCTCAAAAGGAGGTTTGCCCTGAGATCACTACCCTTGGTGCCCTCACTAGAATGCACGGGGAGTTCATTGCCACCTTCAAAAAGTCCGTTATCCAAGCTTGGCAACCTTCCATACGCCCATTGAGCTGGGGCGTAGCCGCCAATGCGGTCCATCTGGTTGTGCGCGGAAATGACGTGCGTCACAGCGGAAAAAGGATCAGCAGTTGGGAGACTTCTTACTATTGCACGAACATCCTCTTTGATTTTTCCAATAGTGGCCTCCACGATTCCAATCTGTTCATGAGCCTCTGCGGGGCAGGGCTCCAGAGCCACACCACGCTCACTACACCACTGTGACAGATGGTTTCCACGGAAGGAGCCTTCTGGGTCACAACGCAACACATTGGGATATCCGTGGTACTGAACCCATGCTCGTTCGAGAGCACTCACAACTTCTTCTGAAGTGCTATTGCGATGTTCTGTCTTGCCAGTTCGAAACAATTCCCAGGCTACTGCAAACCTGGAAGCCTCATCGATCAGGAAAAGAACATGCAAAGTCTCAGAGCCCACACTGATCTGGCCCACATCCATTTGCAGCGTATGCCAGAGAATCTCTGAGGTTTGGAAGGACACGTTTCTATGGGGTACGGGCAAGCGAATCTCTTTGCAGTCGTCACATTCATGGCCCAATGCGAGCTTCAAAATTCGTGGATCTGCACCACGGGCTCTGAGCATATTGTGAAGAGCTCTATTTGTCGGATGGCCTGCTCTGATGTGCAAACGATGAAGAATTTCCTTCTTCTGTTTCAACTCTTTCTCACTAAACGGTGGTAGATCAAACTCTTCAAGTGCAAAAATCGAAGCATGCGTTTCCGTGTCGTTTGAAACCGTTTCGTCTCGTGAGTGTTCAAGAACAATTGCAGAAATCTTCTGACACATTTTCACAGGATAAAATGCAGACTGCTTTGCTCTATCGTGTCCAAAACACTCAGCATGTATGTGTGCGCCGTTACACTGTATGTGAAGTGCACGCTGCAGGTGTATGCTCGTGGTTTTGATTGTCCAGCGTTTCTGGATAAGTTCGCGAGTGTCAAGTGTTCGAGCATCGACCTGGCATCCGTCTAGCCTTGCAACATACAACAAACCTTCACGATCAAGACTGCCCCAAAACCTCTTAACCTCACAGAAACTCCAACCATCGTTGTTACGCGGCCACTCCCATGCAACATGTCCACCTCGTTCCACCTGTTGTTCAGCTAGCCTAACAGCATTACTTGCAATCTTTCGAGATTTCCGTACTTTCTGCTTCAAGGACTTGCACTGCTGTTCCGTTCGTTGGTTCAAGTCCTGAAGACTGTTCGTGGGTGGACATGGGGGAGAAATCCAAATCCAACGGGGTTTCACAATGTTTAAAAATTGTATTGCTCTGTTGAGGCCGTGTGTTGTGCTGAGGTCCATGTTGTTTTCTAACCCAACGCGAAACGCCTTGCCACCTTTATCGAGGATTGTTTGTGTGAGGGTGCTATTTGGGGAACAACAAATCTCAACTAAGTCACACTTATATGCGTCATGTGTCACACATGCCATAAACGCTTCTGCAAGTTCACTGCTTGAGTGTCTAAGACTGTCAGTCAAAAACTCTTTTGTGGACTCAGTCAACAGTGCCGTACAGCCAAAGCTTTCAGGCTCTGTACAAAAAAGGTTCTCACGATCAAGGTCTAAACCGTCGTGAGGATTTGCTTCAGGACTTACGGAGTCACCTGCTGCCAACTCTCGGCCGAATTCGCCTCGTGGTCCTCTGAGGGGAGGTCGTGGTCTCGCTTCGACATTTTCTTGCCCCCGGTCTCGGCCATCATGGTCTCGGGAGTGAGAGGTCCGGGGCTCTTGGGATACGGTGAGGTTTGTCCCTTTGAGGGAGACTTCATTTTGCCTTTCTCGGCTCGGATCTGTTCCAATCGCTGGAGCGCCGATGCCTCTGCTGCTTCCAGGCCAATTGCCTTGCACTTGAGGTCCTCGGGGCTAGCCTCAGTTGACATGTGGCGCACGTCAGCCACAGGCCATGTGCATTGGTCCCGGAACTGCTGCCCCTTCGGAACTTGTCGACGGTGTGCCGGCCTCCACATGGAGTTCCCGTTGCACGGGGATCCCGCGCATTGCAACATTCCGCTCGGTCCCAGTCGAACCGTTCCAGATCCAACTTGCTCTTGGTGGGGTTCACCATGGCGTCTTGTGTCATCAACTTGACGATCTGAGCCGTCTCCTCCTTGGAGAGCTTGGGGTCCAAGGTCTTTTCGAAGCTCTTCATGGTCGCGGTGACTATGCCCGATGGTGTTCTCAGTGTTCAAGCGTGCTTGAGCAGAAAACTCACCAAGCAACGGAGATGAGACAGCCACCACGTCCAAGGTCTCGGAGCCTTGTGAGTTCGCCTCACTAAGCACCTCCACTACATGTAAGTCGTGACTTAGGGAATCATTGTCGTGAGAAGGGAGATCATGCACTGTCAAACTGCTCGTGGGCTCCTGAGAATCATCTGCGCTTCCTTTTCCATCAGGGTTTTGTTCATCTCGTACTAGCGTCATTGCGCTACGGATCACGGGTGTTGAACGGCTTTCAGAACACCAGTCTTTACACAGATCCAACAGCAAATGGCCATTCGACCCACGCAACAAGGGAATCTGAATTCCTTCAAAGTTCTTTCGAAAAATCAGTGCTGGTCTCTCAACATCAACTATGGCTCCTAGGCGCCGAAGGGATTTGATACCAATGAGAATTGGGACACTTGGAACATCAAGGGTGTACACTCCTAGAGTGGTCGGTCTACCATTCACAACTTGAGGAAGGAGGAGGTAGTTTTCAGCTTCTCTTTCCTGAGCGTTCCCAAATTTAAAACGCTTCCTACGCTTCACATCGATGTCAACCCGCTCCTGGCCAAAATGGCTCGCTCGAGTCTCCATCACGTACTCAATTGCATCGAGGCTGCCGACGGTCTCCGTCGCGCCTGTGTCGATCACGGCAAAGGCCAATCGGTCTGGTCCTGAGCCCACTCCGGAAGCTGCAAGGATCAAACGCTGCACATCATCTGAAGGTGGACTGCGGGCTATTGGTGAAGTCGGTTCCTCCACTTCAGTGACCATGCCAATCATGCCGGTCCGTGGCTTGGAAGTCGAAGTGCTGCTGGCACTAGACTGGTTCCGTTTCGGGCAATGCCTGAAGTCATGGCCTTTGTCAGCGCATATGAAACATCCCGTATACCCAGGTTTCAAAACAGGATTGGTACCCTTGCCCTTTCCAGTGGAACCTTGGAGAGAGTAAACAGGAGACCCAGAAGACTTCTTACCCTTGGTGGAACCTTTTCCCCGACCTTTTGGCTTGGACCCCTTAAAGAAACCACGGTTCTTACCCTTCTGATAAACAGCTTCTCTTGCTTCTTTGAAAGATCGGACTTTCGAATCAAATGCCACAAAAAGCTCTTGGAGCTCTTTTGCAGCACCGGGATCGCTCACAGCGACATCATCGATGTCCAACCATGGCTTCATGTCGGAGTATGCTATCCATTCACCGCTGGCCAGTTGGGTCGACCAATCATCATCGTACCAATGCCACTCAAAGCCATCGCTGTACATGATTTGTGAGTCATGGTCAAAGTCAGACTCTTCCGGTGTGCCCCACAAATCATGAACGCGATCTGCTTCCAACCAGTGAACCTGGTCGTCTGTTGGGAGCTCATGTTCATCGAAATCCTGCATGAAAGGCCCCATTGGCCCTCACTTTCAACCCAGTAAGATCGCTGAGGTCTTGAGGTCTGTCGCTGACGCTCTTGCGCCATGAGCTCATCCTCTTGCTGTCTCATGGCTCGTTCTACGTCAGAAAACTTCAAACTATTGCCTGCTGCTGCCTGGATCGAGAGCTTTGCTGCGGAAGGAAGTCCCGACCGCCTCATCAACAACCAACCCAAGACTTCTTCGGGGAGGATGTTCTGGACGATGGACTCCTCGTCTTCCCACTGATGCTCAACTGTGTCCTGAGTCGGCCAGGTCTCTTCATACCAGCCGTCCCACTCTTGCCACTGATTGCCATACCAATCGTCATACCACCATTGATCTGTCTGCCAGCGAGAGCCCTGATCATCTCGATCTTCCTGTTCCTGTTCATTGTCCCCATCACGACCCGGAGATGCAGAAAGGTCATCTCGACCCTCTTCATCGACTCGTTCTGCACTTGGTTCCTGGTGAGGTTCACTTCCGCTCATGCGGCGACGTGTTGACGACGTAGGAGATGACGTGGTCTCTACTGGAGGTGTCACTGTGTCTGTCTGTGTTGCCACTGTGACTCGAGTCATTCGGGTTCTGGCAAGAGAGCGTTGAACCTTCTTGTAGGCTTCACGCAACTGATTGCACCATGTGATCATATCCATGCCGGTAGGTCTACGACACTTGACAAAGAGCTCATCGAGGTGTTGTCCAATGTCTGGTATTGGCAGCCTACCCAATCGAGTGCGCAAAAAGGTCATGAGATACTGTGTGCCTGTGTCCGTCTCCAATTCGTCATAGTTGACGCTTGAAGCAATCTCCCAAGCTTTTCCCCGAAGTTTGAGCACTAGCTTTGGTCCAAGAGTGTACCTCTTGTGGTACGGGGTCTGTTGGTAACATAACCGGACACGCCTCTGGTACTCTGGCCATGTTGATGGTTCGCCGTCCCACGACGGAACAATCTGCTGCTCATCTTTCAATGCCATGATGCTTGCACAAACTAATTGAACTGGACTGTAAATGATCCTGGTTGCAAAGAAAAATGAATTCCAAGGCCAATCTCCTCGTGAGTAGGGTGTAAACAAGCCAAGTGTGTAGAACCTCACGTATTCCGGTTGAGCTGTAAAACCACAGCTCCGCTACCAATGCAGGTAGCTGGCAGAAGCAAGATCTAAAAGTGGATCACTTCAAGAAATTGATGCTGCACCACACACGGAAAAGACCACAACAGTCTAATGAATGAGAACCACCCAAGTTCCCGAGATGTGCCTCCACGGCACACAAAGCAGCCACACGCCAGCCACCTTTCACTGAGCACGCGCCATTGCTGGTCGAAGACCACGGCTGAAGGGTTCCCTCGAGCCCCCACAGCATCGGATGGACGTTCTTCATCCATACCTGCAAAAGTGGAATGCTTCAAGAGACGAAATCGAACAACGAAACTAGCCAGATTCACAGTTCTTGAGCCACCATTTAAGGGCCAATGTGGAGGTTTACACCAAACATCTTCCATCCCCTCAAACTCCATCCAACCTCCCGACTCGCAATGCAGGACCCGCGGTATTAAGCTCTTCAGAGCCCACACCCTTAGGCCTTTGGTTTCCCTCGCCTCCGCCACCTCGGTCGGTGCCTGGTGCTCCTCTGGAGGGGGGCTCCGAGCTCGGGAGCAACGCGGCCTTCGCCGAGCGAAGAGAGGCGTCCCGTCTCCCGGCTCGAAGGGAGGAGGCGCAGCACCGCAGGAGACGCGCGGTGCTGGCGCACGCGCAGGATGCTGGCGCGGTGGCCGCGGTGGCAGGATTTTTCGGGATCCACGGCGCTGCTTTTCAGGGGATGGAGGATTTAGGAGGGTTTTTGGGCGACGATGCGCTGGAAGCCGGAGCAAAGGTTGGATTCCATGAGCCTTTCTATGGATCCTAGCAACACTATGAGGAGCCAAAGCTTCTTGCTCCGTTCGTAGCGATGCCCTTTGTTACTAGTAGCCTTCTTGCTCCTAGTTGTCGTTTCTCTTTTCTCCGAACGTTTGAAGAATCCAGTTGCCCCATTGTGGTTGCCATCATCCACAGCACCAATACGGTATGGGAACCCAACCGCTTAGGTGACCAGACTGCTTGATAGTTCGGCCTCCGTGGGTCGTTGAATCTTCATCTCAGATGGGATTCTCCCAGGAAACCACCTTGACGTGGAAGCCTGGTAAATGACGATTGGATTAAACATCATCCAAACACATATCACCACCTCTAGTAGCTTCTTGCTACGTTCGCAGCGATGCACTTGTTGCGTTCGTATAGCTACATTGGTCCAAACCAAACCATCACCCACCGAGGCTGGGGACCGTGAAAGCGGTCATCTCTACCTCGACCCTTGCGGTCCGACCTTCCGCCCGGTGCCTGAAGCACTGCCACGGGTGCATCAGAGCCACTGTTGCGGCCGAAGCCTGTAGGAAGCGATCGGATGAGCGAACGAGGTGAAGCGAGCAGTTGCCACACTCCCTTAGAAGTCATATATATTAGTGGTTGCGGGGATGGCATGGAGCAATGTTGCGAATACTAAACAAGTGGTGAACTCCACTTCCATGACTATTTCAGGAGTTTATTGCCTCTAGCTGATTATCTGATTGCTTCCTCCGCGCAGAGATGTGTCTCTGACAAGCCAAACAGTCTGGAACTGATCATCTGCGGCTGCCTGAATCTGCTAAAAAAGAAAAAAAACATACCACCTGAATGGGGCAGTTTGCCATGGACCCTGCAAACTGCCACCATCACATTGAGATATCCATGAACCAGGAGCAGCTGGCTCGCAACCACATGCAGTGAATGTGTAGCGCGTGGGGGAGACCTTGGGCTGTGTGCCTTTGACTTCCCCCCCAAAAAATAGTAATCAAGCCCTTTGCTGAAACGGTCTCGGGGAATATTGTGTGAACAAAACATAGAAACACATCATAATTCAATTGTGTTTGTTTCAAACACTTCCAACACACGAACTTCTTGCCCTGGGAGCAAGAACGCTACAATCGGGGCTCCTGGCATCGAACAAGAAGCTACGAACGAACGGAGCATGTCGGGCATCGACACAACGAGTCGCGGGTCTCTTGAGTTGCTCCAGGTGGCTTCCAGGTCGGTCATGCAAGCTGGCGAGCAATTCCTGGAGGGAAGCGGTCTCTCCAACTCCCTGGTCAAGTCGCTCGTCATGGATCGGTAAAAACCATGAATCCTCAGATGAAGACATCAGGTGTTAGGATCAAGACATCGGGTGTACAGATCCAGAAACTCATCAGGGTCCCAAAGATGCTTTCCACCCGAAAACCATCGAACACCCTAACAACTGGAGGCCAAACACCTGGTGAACCAAAAACCTCATGGTGTTCCTGGCAGCTTCTTGGCAACCTGGTTTGCCCTCTTGTTCGCCAGGAAGACACCCATGGAGTGGGACTCTGGCTGTCGACTTTCCGGACCGGCCAACGGCCCCACCGTGAGGCTGTCGTCGATCTCCCCCATGGAAGAGGCACCTGTGCGGATGGATCAGTGGATCGATCGGTGGACAGCAGTGGACCAAGGCCCACAGAAGAAGTGCACACCAGCACTAGTCCAAGTGAAACATAGTGAAAGAGGTGAATGTTCTGCAGGTTTGGGCAGAGCTTAATGTCTATACTGAGAATCAATATCCCATCGACTTGGGCAAAGCTTTGCCAGTCAAGCGCCAGCAGTCAAGCGCCTTTCTTGCCCTCCGATGTGGGGGTCCTGGCCAGTCGGTCTGCGGGAGCCCTTGGCCGATACATGTGTTTTTAATGGTTTTGTGATTTATTCTTTACCAGGTCACCTCCAGCAATGCCAAATTGTTGTTATTGTGTGTGTGTGTTTTTTTTAACCAGGTCACCAAGAGCAATGGCAAATTGGGATAAATTGGGTTCATCCCAAGTGGACCAAGGTTTTGTTGTTTCTTTCGCCTTTCCAACATAGAAGCTGCTCACAAGATGGAACAAGAGAACAACACTGTTCAGGATCACCGAAATCGGTTGGTAGAAACATGTAGATCTTGTAGTCAAATACGTACACAAACCATCGCTGCTCCACCACATCCAGCAACCACTCCGTCACCAACTGTCACCAGTTCACTCACGCGCCGAGCCCGGTCACAGGGGCCACACTCAACTCCGATGCACTGAGCTTCACTGACACATTGGCACCGTGACAGTCAGTCCACACTGGCACCGTGATGATCATCCTAATTACGATGTTGACGATGATCATGACGACGACGAAGTAAGTTGGCCTTGATAGCGGTGATGATGTTGATGTTGGCAGCACTGACGATGGCTATGATATGATACTGCATGCTCTTGGTGGTGATGACGTCAATGTTCATTGTGATCTTGCTACTGCTGATGATGACGATGCCACTGGCAATGTGATACAATACACGTTATCTTGGGGATTATGACGTTAATGTTCATTGTGATGTTGATGATGGCGACAATACTCGTGGTGTGATACAATACACGATATCTTGGCAATGATGGCGCTAATGACCCATTGTCCCATTGTCCTGTTGCTGATGGTGATGAACATGATAAAGTTGGCCTTGATAGGGGTGTTTGATGTTGAACACGATGTTCATGATGATGTTGGCCGCGGTGACGACGGTTATGATATAATACACATGACCTTGGCGATGATGACGTGAATGCTCACTGTAAATGTTGCTGATGCCAAAAATGATCACGCTGATGGCAAAGTCGACGATGGTGGTGATAGTACATAAAATTACATACACCATCTAGTTTGCAGGGCCACAGGCGAGCAACCTGTCGGATGCTAAGAGCTTTCTGTGTTTGCGATTGGAAGGTGCAAAGAACACGCCCTTGGCAAGTTGATGATGTCTCCACCATCCAAGCTGGGAAATGTTTCTTGCCTGGGCACTGAGACATGCGAGCAGGTTAACGGAACTAAACATGTAGAATAACTTTGTTAGACCCCAGGTAAACAAAAGTGCAAACAACACCACCTCCGATGGCTTAAAACATGCGAGGCTTCCCTTGTCTGCACATTCCAATTCTGACATCTTCATCAAAAAGAATAATCCTAGGCAGGTTGAACACCAACATATATAATCATATATATATATTATGTTACATTGGATGCCAACCACGTCCTGGTCAATCTTTTCACATCTACGATACCCTGTTAAAAGCCGGAATTACGTCTATCTGACAATCTTTCAGAAGCAGGTAGATTTCAAGGACTGACATCAGCGATCACGCAAATTCTCGCCCAATGGTGTCTCACTAAATCTGTTATTGTCTCTAACAACATTGCAAACCAAATCCGACGTTGCCAACGATACAACAAGTCAAGGCTTGGAAACACACAAAAACATGTGCAGCATGTGACTGTTTGTTATCAAGACACGTACACTTACTTCTTGAACAAAAAACACGTGGAATTATGGTTCACAAGAAATGTCTGCCATCTCTGCAATGAACAGCTTCTTCGGAACAAGAACACGTCCCGCGTCGTTGTACACGGTCCTTTCTTTCCGCATGGACGAGGGGAGCGAGTGCGGCCCAGGAGATGCGTGTGCACCTGCCATGCAGGACTGCTCGGGATTGACCCGGGACAAGCTCCTGGAGGTGAAACGCAAAGTCGAATGATTTTATTCAATATACCCAGGAGCCCCCTAGTAGCTTCTTGCTACTAGTAGTAAGCCCAGGAGCCCCGTTAGCGATGCCAGGAGCCCCTAGTAGCAAGAAGCTACTAGTAGCGATGCCAGGAGCCCTCCCTCCAACAATCATGGAAGTGGATAACAGCCTGTTTAGTAGAGGAAAGCAGTCTTCCAAGGGGCCATGCTCCACTTCCCCGTTTCGACGGAGGATGACGGAGGGTAGAAGTTAGCTTGTGTAATGTTGGTTCCCAAGCGGCGACCATTCACAACTGGGAGAGTTCGTGCGTGGCTTCATAAGACACAGGAACTCTCTCTGTGGGTTTCCTGCACACCTTCTGCCAATAAAGGTTGGACCACCCTCTAGCAGCGAGCTGTTAGCAGTCTGGCTTACACTGGTGTGGCTGTTGTTGTCACTTGAGGAGCTGCTTCTTGAGCTGTCCTACCACTGTGCAGCTTTCGGACATGGGCCTGAAGCCTTCGGCTGCTGTCCTACCACTGTCGCCTTGAGACAACGCAACTCTACACTCTACACCCTCGGTATACCTCTGAATCGCTTCACTGCGGCTGCCGGAACTGTCGATGGCTCCGCGTCATGCTTCACGTCGAAACGTTGGCGAATCGCAAAGATCATCACCTGTTTTGGTGGATACCAGGCCGCTGGTGCAACCCGACTCCTTGATCCCTGGTGCAACCCGTCTGAGACCCATCCAAGAGAGATTGAGTGACCTGAGAAAGTCACTAGGACCTCTGGGATGGTCTATAGGCCACTGCTACTAGGGTGGAGGCCATCGCTACTAGGGTGGAGGTCCTCGCTACTAGGGTGGTTGGTGGTGGAGAGATAGCCTATTGGGTTCTTGGATCCACCTGCTACCTCCATCCGGAACAAACTGCGCTCGCCTGGTCTCGCTCGGGCATCAGGTGACAGCTCGCCCGGACGCGAGATAGTACGGCCCAGGCTTGCCATGCCTCGTGTGAGAAGGACGACGACGGCAATATAACATATTTATAATATACTGTACATACTGCATATACTCTACTAATCCATTGTCCCTCTTGTGGTTTTACGTTCTTTTTCGCGTAGATAACGCACCCATTCTGGGTCGCACGACTGCCAAGCCCTTTGGGCACTGGGTGTGTTGACGGTCTGAACAACGAACACAACCAAAAGGCTAGTCGGTTGGGGTGCTTCTGTTTCGTTGCCCCGAGTGGATGATCCGTCAATCCCGGACACCCCGCAAGAAGGAAACCCTCAAGAAAAAAAGATCTTAAAGAATACTCAACTCCTGGCACAGACTTACACCACCAGGATCCAGCAACAGGTCATAGTTCAGACCCTTTTGTGGCTTTAGAACCTGGGAGGAGACCCGTTGGAGTGTTGTCACCAAACAAGACATGAAGGACCTCTTCGATCAAACACTTTAACTATATTTTTATAGCCACATTAGGTCACGTTGCATGTCAATGTTAATTGCGAGAAGGGCATGAGTCAAGTTGTTGCCTTTGATAAGCAGCACGACATCACCAACATGACTATTCCAAAGCAAGCCAATGAGATTGAATTCTCCTCCACAACCTCTAGCTAAGAACAAAACACAACATCCAACCACAGCACAGGCAGAATCCCGCTTTCTACTAGAAACAAGTATCTCTGGATGGATGGGGCGACTGCTTATGACTGCCGTTCTTCGACAGCAATGGCAAACTCCACTGACCGTCCCAAGCCGAGCTTGGGCCCTGGAACCTCCCATGGTGTCACCGAGTGCTTAGCACTCCACATGTTGACCACGTTCGGACACACTCCCTACCGGAATCCTCTTCCTCCAAAGGTCCAACGATCGGTGATCCACTCGAACAAACCACTTAAAAACCATCGCTGCTTTGCTGAACGCGTGCAGTTCTGCACCCGATCAAAGTTTGCCGGACGCATGTCGAGCGCGCGCGAGCGAACGCTTCGCAAATGCTTCGCTCTTCGGTCATCACCCCGAGAGGCCTATAGGCCGTGTCCGGGCGTTTTGAGGCGAGAGCATCATTGGCCCACCTGGCAGGTGCCGCGTGCGGAGGTGCTAGGTGCTCTGCGTCCGTGCGGCCTCCGATGTCGTGGCTGAAATAGAGACCAAACAAGCATGGCGACCTGTGAAGTCGGGTGCTGGTAAAGAAAAGAACTTCTTTTGGGGATCCGTGATGAGACAACAATTTGATTTTCATCAACAATGTGACCCTGACTGATGGTGTGCCAGTGACGTTCTTTGGAAGCATTCCTGGCTCCTCTTAGGGCAATCATCTCAAAAAGACCCAAGAAAGGAAAAGCAACACAAAGCTCCTTTCCCACTATCTTGTCCCAGACTCTGAACGGAGGTAGAGATGGAACTGAATAGGGAACAATCATCGGGCCTTTGCTTAATCCACAAAATAACTAGAAAATAAACAGAGAAACATGGTGGGATTCTCCCCAAACAGCAGGACCAGGTTCATTCACGCGAGTGGTCCCACCATGGTGGCCGCACCAGGAGAATGACCCGACTCTTCCGCTCTCAGCGCCGCACGTTGGCGTTGCCTCAAAGAGACGACGTGTGGCGCAGTTGGGGAGTCCCGGGAAGAGGAGGTGATGGCTTTTCTGCATCTGCTGAAGATGAGAGGTGAGGAGCATCGAACTAGTAGAAGGGAAGATGTCTTTGTTCACAGCCCTACAAAAACAACGCCCATGTACCATGGCAATATGACCATATGTATGTGGTTGCAATGATGTTTACGGGGGTCCTTTAAAATCGAACTGCCAAAACCTCTCAGGACATGCGTCGTGGTGGTCCAAGCAGAGGGGGCGTCGCCCTTCGCCCAGTCGTGGGGCGGTGGACCCGACCCAACGGGCCAACGGACCAAGGGATCTGGAAGCCACTCTGGCTGTGGACCTTAGGGTTTCAAAACCCTAACCCCTAAAAACCTTAGGGTGAAAGAAATCCACACAGGATCTATCCCAAGGCATGCAAATCTGCCAGATTTTACAAGCTAAGAGGCTAATCTGGCACGATTAGTCCCTGCAAGAGCACTATATGCATTTTTCCAAGAGATCAACCTGGACCGCACTCTGTTCGTACCTTAGAAAATGGGACATTCTGACATGACCATAGACATGACCCTATTAACAAAAGGCACTCCTGCACCTTCAAAGGTGTCAAGAAAAATGGAAGGCCCTGCACTACAGGATGTCCATTGGACACCCCTTGGAGTTGCATGGTCCTTGTATGTCCCTAACCCTCCAACGATATCCTCAGAAGGTGGTTAGAGCCCCCTGGCACCCACCCCAACCATCTTCTCAACGGAGGTAGGCCAGGAGCCCCAGGCTGTGTATGATTTGTCCGAGCTCCGACCATCCGACGTTCATCCCTCCGAGCCCTGGACTCCATGGCAGCCCCGTCATGTGCCTTGCTGCGGCCGCAGGGCTGAGTGCGAATCACAGAGCATTGGGATCGTGACGTGGACGGCATGGGGGAATTCCTCTTGAGGTGAACTTTACTCCACCAACGCACATGAGTTCTGTAGTTCTATAGAACTTGGAGCTCTCAGAAGGATCCCAACAAGGGATCCACAGAGGCTAGTTGGAGATCTGCTTGCCTTTCGACTGAACTCTGAAGTGTTCATTGAGTATAGCCATTTTCATGGAGTTCCGACTGACTCATGCGATGAAGGTCAATCAATCTGACCATAGCCATTCTTCAGCCTATAAGTGCATGAAGGGCATCTTGGATTGACGACCTGACATTGCCCTGCCATGCCCCGGTACTCTTGGACTTCGCATTCCTGGCACCCCTTCCGAAGGAGACGTCTCTGTGACCGGTGTCGATCCCCGCAACTGCCTGCCTGGCATCCCCGGCTGAGTTGGGGAGGAGCACATCATCCGGCAGCCGAGCGACCGTGCGAGTGTTCGATTCTACCTGAAAGCATGTGGCGAACATAAGACATCAATCTGAACAAAAAAGAGGATCTCTAAAGGATATGATGCTCAAATGAGCTGGCGCTCAGGTACTGAAGGTGTTGCACACGCTGATGAGCAACTATGCAATTCATTTGGATTTGAACAATTCTGAGGATAGATCCTTGCAGTGTGTTGTGGAAGAATACACATCAGTGGTTCTTCAAACATTCCACTGATCTCAGAGTCAAGCGATGTCTTCCACTGTGATTCGACCCTCAAACTCTCTAATAAGAGACCATCTGGGACCATCCAATCAATCGAGGTCAAAAACTGTTTTTTGTTCGTGCATAGTATCATGGACGAACCAAGTCACGGTCATTGGAGCTTCTACCGTTGGAAATATGACTTTTTAGTCATATTTGCCACTGGAAACGTAGCCAGGAAGCTAAGTCTTAGCCCTAATGGTTCTGAAATCATTAACTTCGTGTGAAGTATACGTGAATGGTCTCATAGCTTCGCCCGGTTTGAGCTCATTGCGGCAGTGCACCGACCACGACTCCTGTTGATCAGAAGAAGGGAACATGTAACCACCCTCGGCACCCTATCCAGCGAAACGGAAGGAGGCCAAAAGGTGGGACCAGCCGAAGGGGACGGTTATATCTATAGATGGATCCATGTGGCAAATCGGAGCGCAAAGCTTGGGACGAACGAAGACTCGTCAGTCGTCATAGTTATTTGCTGTTATAGTGATATATTCCCTGACACTAATATTAATGTCAGTGGCACCTTTTATATAGTCGATCAGGCTATATTATATAGAGGGTGTTCTGTGATACTCTTATATTATCTGACTATATATATAGAGGCCAGCGGGTTTGGCCATGCTTCAGGGTTGGGTGGCCTGCAAACAGGTCAACTTTTCTAGCAGTTCCAACACTGGCTGGAAAGACGTTGTTTTCAGACGCTTCGGGAGTTTCCAGAGTTTCCTAAAGGGGTTTCAAAGCACCAAACGAGACATGGCTTGTTTGGATTCCTAGCTCCCGGTGGAGTCCGCAGGGTGGTGGACATGATGGGAAGTTGGCGCATGAAATGGGAAGGTTTGAGAAAGCAACCCTCTGACTGAAGATATGGCCAAAAACAAGATGCGAGGTGTTGCAAGAATTTCTCATCAGTGGCCTGTTCTGTTTAAACATCTGTTCTTCTCAGCTGGAACTTTTGTGCAAAGGACCCCGTGGCCGCCCAACTTTGATTGGCTGCTTGGAGTTCCCAGGCAACCCCACCCCACCCACCGCGCCGTCCCCTGGCATGGCCAAGCAAAAGTCTGCCGTGGAGTAGAGCCGATGTCGATGCTCCTGGAAAAAACAACAGAGAAAAACACCCACTAGCATACGTGCATGGCGGGGAGAGCAGTTTGCGGTGCAACTGTGAGTTAAATTGAACGGTGTTTTCCGTCGTTGGCCTTTTGGATCTTGTGGTGTCTCTTGGAAGAGCCTGGAAGAGCAAAGGTTGATCTAGTTTTTCAAGTCTGAGACTTTTTGGGGGAACCAAACATCAGCAAAGACTCGGGGTCGGCAGGCCCGATGAAATGCGGTGAAAGTTGGGGAAAATGCAGGAAACTCTCCCATCTCTGCCTGGAACTCACATGGAAGTGAAAAAAACATGTTCTGGTGGAACATGGTCTTCCGTAACCAGGGCCATGCCATCCACGGGTAACCGTATGAAGCTTCCACTGTGTTTTGTTTCCCTAGGGATCCAAGTACCTTCTCAGAAGGTACTTGGACCCTCTAAACCTACATAACAGTGTCTCCAATCACCTTCTGAGAAGGTACTTGGATCCCTAGGGTTTGTTGTTTTTGCCTCGCATTGGGTTTTGTTTGCATGGCTTCGGACCCTATGTCGTAGCATATGGTAGCAGTCCTGGTAGCATGATTCATCCGGAGTTGGAAAAGCCGTCCTCACATACTTCTTGCTTGTCTTCTACTAGCACTAAATATTTGTGAACATAAGAAGCCTCTAGGTCAGAGCAAAACCGACGTTTGCAAAGAGCTCGGAGCCACTCATCTCTTCCGATGGTTTATAAATGTTTATACTAACCCATCAATGAGACCGCCTTACAAAAGCATCTGCTTGGCCTCCAACCTAATAGCAATGGCCGTAAGGGATCCGAAAGCCATTGATCATGGTCATGGCTGCTTGGTTCACAGCATGGCGTGTGTGGCTGTTGAGCCACTCGCCCAGACTCCAAATCACCCGTTTGATGGGGCTAAGATGTGCCAAGACTGGCCAAAGAATTCGTGCTTGGCCAGATCTTTCACCACTCCAACAGTGACTACCAGGTGGTGTGCAAAAGAAAACTCATGCATCATCATGCATGCATGCAAATGAAAACAGAACAAGTTTTCCTATGCCTCCAAGAAACATGAAAGTGGACAATCCCCCTGTTTGTGGAGGGATGATTTCACAATGGTTTCAGGAAGGGCAAGCGACTCATTTGGGAACAAACGGTTAGACTCAATTTGGAACACATCGTGTCGTAATTATTCAGGAACGGGTATTCCGGTATTCCCCTGCCTCGCATGGATCTCCTCGATCTAATATGATAATATGGGTTCTGAATGTTTCAGATTTAAAGCCGCTAAACCAAAGCGCAAAGTTTCCCGATGTATACATAAACACACCACCTTCTGGCGTTATAACCAATCAACTTGCTCAAACCGTGTGCTCCAAAACCCATTGGTTCATTACTTCCACTCTGTCCAACATCGTCCATCCCGAGAGCCACCGCACACACACACCAAAGAAGACTCTTTTTCTCACATTCATTGGTTGGAAAACTGAAAGTAGCAAAGTTCCCCGTAGATGGGTGGGTAAAAGCAGGAGAACCTGGAAATCAACAATCCATGGGAGATCATGACTCCTTTGCTTGGCCAACACGTTTCTTTTTTTCCCCCTTTTTGGTCTCGCTCAACCTGGCACATTTTGGCGGGATCTCTCAAAAACTAGCAAAAACTAAGCCACCGTGGTCGCTCAAGCATTGCGAAGTCTTGCCTGCTTTTCAAGGTTCTCAGCCCTTCCGCGCAACACGAAGTCTCCGTCTCTCTTACTCCGCGTCTCGCCGCATGGGGGGGTTTGCTTGGACGTCTGCGAAGGATTCGCGACATGACAGCTGTTCGACGTCAAGTGACAGCCGTTCTGGGGCGTTTCGGACGGTTTTGTTGGGGGGGGCAGTGATGCAGGCGCCTGGCCGATGCGCCGGTCCAGACGTACTTCGGTACTTCGGAGAGATCTGCGGTCCGACAGGTCCAGACCGTGCGGTCCAAACCGCTTCGGTCCCCCGTGGATCCGGTGTGGGTCCGGTGTCGCGGTCGAGGACCCTGTGCTGTCAGCCCGTGTCGCTGTCGGGCCATCTGATGGATTTGGGGCTCGTTGAGAGGTCAAAAGGATCTGGAGGCGCCCAGCCCAGTGCTGCCAAGGCTGTCCAAGCCTTGGACAAGAATCGAAGTGTAGTTTGTCTCC